ACAATATGGTATGGTATGGTATGGTATGGTATGGTATGGTATGGTATGGTATGGTATGGTATGGTATGGTTTGATATGACATAATATGTTGTGGGGTGGCATGGGTGTAAATACGTAGAGTTGTCTTGCATTGCGTTGTACTGTCCTGTCCTGTCCTGTGCTGTACTGTGTTGTGTTGTGTTGTGTTGTGTTGTGTTGTGTTGTGTTGTGTTGTGTTGTGCTGTGCTGTGCTGTGCTGTGCTGTGCTGTGCTGTGTTGTGTTGTGTTGTGTTGTGCTGTGCTGTGCTGTACTGTACTGTACTGTGCTGTGCTGTGCTGTGCTGTGTTGTGCTGTGCTGTGCTGTGCTGTGTTGTGTTGTGTTGTGTCGTGTCGTGTTGCCTTGCATTGCGTTGCGCTGCAGCGCCGCGTTACGTTGCATTGCATTGCTGTGCAGTGCAGTGCTGTGCAGTGCAGTGCAGTGCTGTGCTGTGCTGTGCTGTGCTGTGCTGTGCTGTGCTGTGTTGTGTTGTGTTGAGTTTTGTTGTGTTGCGCTGCGTAGTATTGAATCACCCTTTACCAAAGTAGGAGTCAAATCCTCTGTTCCAGGGCAAGTACTCGTCCTTGTAAAATCCCAGGTGCCATTTTCCCACCATGTGTGTGGCGTAACCGGCCTCCTTCATCTTGTCCGCCATTGTTGGGCTGTCCAGGGGAAGACCGTTGGGTTGTTCTGGCCAGATGATGGCATGTTGGAGGCCTGTGTGGATCTTGACGTGAAAATGAAAAGAAAAACAATAATGATACAGTTACGATAATATCATCATCATCATCATCATCATCATCATCATCATCATCATTATCATCATCATCATCATCATCATCATCATCATCATCATCATCATCATCATCATCATCATCATCATTATCACATCAACACTGAAACAGGAATATGAAACTGATATGGACAACGCAATTATTATTGCCATCATCATTCTCATTATCATTATCATCATCATCATCATCCCCATCATCATCATCACTACCACCACCACCATAGCTACTCATACCACGGGAAATCCTTCCAAAAGAAACACAAAGCTCAAACTCAGGTCTCTGTAAAGAGATGATCCTATCCTACTTTCTTAATTTTTTTTTTTAGTTGCATGTCCCCTTCACGGCACAGGTCACGTGATCCATGGTGTCAAGTCTGAGAACATGAACACATGAACCAGCTCGTCACGGCTTAACTTCTAGGATTTACCAAAGGTTGGCAGCCCTGTACCCACCACACCCTCCCAACATAACTATAGGGGACGTGTCGACATAATCATACGCCGAGAAACCATTCTAAGAAATACAACAGGTCAACATTAGACACTAAAGCTGTCATCGTTTCTTCAAGAGTCGCTCAATACAATCATTATAATGTACCTCCC